CCCCCCCCCCCCCTGTTCTGGATGAGCCACCCCTGGGTTAAAAGGCTGTGATACACATATTCTGAAACATGAGTTTCAGCAGAGTGATAGTACTCAAATGTCATGTTTAGTGCATTGCAACACAGTATGGTGATGGTGGGTTTTTTTCTGGAGATTTTCATCCTTTTATGAAATGTCATTGACTATATTTATATTTCCTTGTGCAATACTGTTAATCACATTACTGAATTACATTAATGTAAATCATACATGCTGTAGGAGATCTACTGTTAGCTGACATTTGTCACAAATAAACAAATACACTTGTTTTCTGTTTGTATAGCGGCTAAATGTAATGAGGCCCTGTGTTGGTTAAGGCCACTAGGTGCTACTGTAATATAAGTTTTGGATCATCATTATGCATAACTTGGGAGTGAGGATGAAAGGACCGAAGCCAGAAAAGGCCATTGCTGAACTTTCTGAGTTCCAATAAAGCCAAGAACATGTCAGCCAATTGACTTTGTCATTTGACTTTATCAAGACAAAATGAAACATAAATATTTTAAACTGTCTTACGGATTTAGATTTCCCACCCCCACTTGAAGAATGTCCCAATGTGAACTTTAGACTTATTTAAGGAGCATTTAGCTTCTCTATGTGGTAAAAAGGGTATTTTCTTATTAACATACCCAATTTTTTCTGCTAGTATAGGTCACCTACAGCCCAGCAGCCCAAGGTACAAGTTTAACTTCATTGCAGATGTGGTGGAAAAGATTGCGCCTGCAGTTGTGCACATAGAGCTTTTCCTGAGGTAACTATTTAAATTGGTTGTGTTTAACTGCATTGCTTTGGGGGAAGGTTGGGGCAGGAAGATTTCAAACACGTTTGTCCTTCCTTATGCAGCAAAGTAAAATGACAGCGGACTAATGTCTTGACTGAAGTTTGTGACTATCCAAGTTGGCTTAGAATTAAATAATTGCAGAAAACATTACAGAAACCTCCTGCAGCTTGACAAACCATGTCAAAGCCTTGGAGAGGTCTTTATTTTCCAATGTGAAGCCTTGGTCACTGGGGAGTAGGATCTGTTTCCTTCCTTTATTATTTTGGTTCATCTAGTGTTAATTAATCTAAGCTGAATTATGTAAGAATAGCAGATCAAGAGGAAGGGATCTTGGTATTAACCAGTAATACAAATGGATGAATATGAGCCATTGCTTGTTAGATCATAGTAAAGATACCATCCTTCTTTTGTGTCCTTGTGACAAGTTATTTAGCAGAATTCACAAATTTGTTGGAATCTGACAGGCTGTGCTGTGAGTGCTTCTTCTATGGCCTTGATCTTGCCACTTCTGGGTTTGCAACGCTTGGGCGGGCCCCTGCACCACCTCACCCTCTAGTAAAATTACCAAAAAAAGCTAATCTGAAAGAATTGTATCAACTTACTTTTTATTTCACTTGCACTGAGAAACTAAGGACCTCAGTTCAGTTAATTTATCTTAGAAAAATGTAAGTACCAGACAGGGGAGTAGGTTTCTGATGTATATAGTTCTTTTAACTACCTAACATAGGCATGACAAGATTTGATCCATCAAAAAACTACATAAATTTAGGTGAAAAGCAATCTAAAAATAGTCACAGTCGGGAAAATTAAACATTAAAACAATATTGGAAGCTTTGGGATTCTCTATTACTTCAAATCTTTATATTAAGATGTCTTTCTAAAAGATATTTTACAGCTCAGACAGAAGTTATGGACTTGATGCAGGAATAACTTGGCAAAAGTGTATGGCCTGTGTTATAGCATATGCAGCCTGACCTGTCTTATGTGAGAGGTCAGGCTAGATGTCTAGAATGAGGCTCATGTGGCCTTAAATCTATGGCTCTATTAGGTTCCTGCAGGTTACTGTGTTTGATGTTCTGTTTCAAGGGTTGCTGCACTTCATTACTTCTGCATATACCAGAGGATTCATATAATTTTAGAGTAAGGACCACACTTCTGGCAGAAAGGTGGACATGTGGGCCATCTTCTTTCCCATCTCCACTTTCTAAGACGATCTCTCTATATTCATTGTATGATACAAGGAAAAGGCATAACTAATGTATAATTAACTTTAAAGTGAAACTATTGTCACTTTTCCAGCTCTTAGTCTCCATGTGTTTTACTCTTTTTTACTTCCCATTGTGTGCCTTCCCCTGGACATACTTTTCATCCCTTAGTCCATTCTCCTACTGCCTTATTCACAAATCCCTGCTGCTTGTTCCTGCTCTTCCCTTCACAAGCTGTTCAGTTGCCAGGTTCTCATCTCCTGTTTTACCCTGAACATGCCTTTTCTACTTGGGGCTCCAGTCCTACTGTTAGTTCCCACTGGTTGCTGGTAGCTCCAGTGTTTGGAGGAAGCTTCTATCTCCAGTCTTCACTTCTCTTGCATAGCAGCAGTGACTAAAAGAGTTAGATGGCCAGGTTCCCCTTCATCTGTTGCCAGCTATCTTCCTTGGAATAAAAATGGAGAAGAACAAGAAAAATGTATAATTCCACTACCCTCAAGCAAGTTCCAATAAATCTTAGTTCGTGGATCACTGGCATTATGTTCATTACTATCGATCCAAAGTTAAATTTTACAATCAAATTTTTACAATTTTTATAAATAAATATATTGTGTGTTTTGGGATTCATTGGAGTGAAAGGTGATTCATGTTTATAAGCTTCTATGGATGACCATTGTGTTCCTTTTTATATTTCCTTACAAGCTTCATTTATGAGAGATTTGTTTTTTGCTTCTGATATAGGCACCCTCTATTTGGGCGAAATGTCCCTCTGTCCAGTGGATCTGGATTTATTATGTCAGACTCAGGTTTAATTGTGACCAATGCCCATGTGGTATCTAGCAGCAATGCTATTTCAGGGCGACAGCAATTAAAAGTGCAGCTACAAAATGGAGATACCTACGAAGCTACAATCAAAGACATTGACAAGAAATCAGACATAGCAACAATAAAGATTCATCCTAAAGTAAGTAGTTTTAGTGGTTGAATTAATGAAATTAGTAAGCTCAGTATAGCTGGGTTTTAGGTACAGCCTCATTTGCTGGAAAATATTCTGAAAAATTCCTTAGCGCACATCTGGAGATAAAACATCCAGAATGGACTGGTCTAGAAATATTTTACATTTTATTAATAAATTATTTTGCCATCTCTGGGCTGCAAGCCCTGGTTAGAAAAAAAATGGATCTTATTTATTAGAGCCAAGAGATAGCCAGACCCTGCTACCTTTCCTTAGAGTGGAAAGGGTTGCTATTTGAGGAGTACACAATATGAATAGGACCTGGCTTACAATGAGATTCACACCATCTCAGTGGGGGAGTGGTCTCATGGAAAATGGATGCGTTGGGCTCAGAGTCCTGCTTCCTCTTATTTTAAAGACAGCAGCAAGAGGCAAGGCCTGCTACTACACGGAGTTGGTTTGGCTTGTGTTGTCTCGATGTGTCATGGTAGAATTGTTCATCCAGTGGATGAACAATGGCAGCTGTTCCTTCTGTTCGGGATTAGTACTTGCAGTTTGTTCTCATGTATTCAGCCACAAACAAGCATTCATTTGGTTTCTTTCTTTATTTTTTTACAGAAAAAACTGCCTGTATTATTACTGGGCCATTCAGCTGATCTGAGGCCTGGGGAGTTTGTCGTGGCTATTGGGAGCCCATTTGCCCTTCAGAACACCGTGACAACCGGTATTGTCAGCACTGCTCAGCGAGATGGAAAGGAGCTGGGCCTGAGGGACTCGGATATGGATTATGTTCAGACAGATGCCATTATTAATGTAAGTACTGGCGTGTCAGGAAGTGAGCTCTGTGATCCTGGAACCTTGAAACTCCACCTGTTCTTCAGGGAATAGCCTGCAAGATGAATCCCACTGAATAAATAAGGGCTTCTCTTCAAGTAAATGGCACCCTTTCCTTTATGACAGCTTAGTTAGGGCTAGACTCCATTTTCCCTCTTCCCCTTCTAAGTATTTACATAGCTGTGCAACTGCAGTCATTGGCACCTATGCACAGTTTCAGTTTCTATTTCCACTTGTGGGGGAATAGGATTGCTTTGTGTGCATGCCGTCTGGAAGTAAAACGGAGGCTGAGGACTCCTACCTTCCAGCCGAGAGTCTTGGTGGTTAGAGCACTTGCCCAGGGTGAAGTAGACCAAGCCTCAACCCCCTTCCCTGCCAGAGGAACTTTGAATCTAATGCTCTCGCTTCTTAGCAAGGAGCTCTAGCCATCAGGTTGCAGTTTATGCATTACCCAGAGCGCTCTCCAGTCCTCCCCTTAGGCAGCCCATGGCATATTGCATCTAATATTATTTCTGTAACTGGTTAAAAAGCACTAGGAAGGTTTCTGACCCGCTAGGAGCAGGGGCCCAGACTAGAATCCAGAGCAAGGTGGGTGCATATTCCAGGGCACCATCCTATCTCACTGAGCCATCACCCTTCTGGCTAATTCACCTCATCCTTCAATCTTTACCTACTGCCTGCCTCATAGGCAGATGAAGGGTTCCCTCAGCAGTTGCTAGCCTGTGACCTGGTAGTTAAATCACTTAGTTGGAAAGCAGGAGATGCACATTCAAACTGCCTCCCAGATCTTGGAGCCTCTTGAGGTAGATCTCAGAGTCTTTTAGCCCCCCACCTCAGCCTCAGATCGACTCTGATTGCCCGTGTGCATGGACGCACATGCCCCAGCCCAGCAGGTCAGTTCACGGGGGAGGGAAGGGGTGGGGGCTACATGGAGGCTCCCGTGGTGAGGGACAGTGCTGCAGAAGCAGGAGCAGGGGTAAGTTGATCGGGGCCCAGGCCGGGTGGGAGTTACCTGCTGGGGAGGCACGTCCCCAAATAACCTTTTTTCCCTCTGCCTTGATCTGCCTCTCCCCGTCCCTCCCCACAGACTTACCTGCTGGACAGGGAGTTGAGGGGTGGCAGTGCACAGTAGATCATGAGTTGCTTTTAAGTGCCAAAGGTGATTTCCTATTTAAAATGGTTGGAGGCCACTGCTCTAAGGTGCCACCCTACCTTCCTTTATAGGTGCTATATAGTGAGGCTCTTGCTGTCTTGTGCAATTGCTTGGCTCAAATGAAAATACAGCCCTACTGTAATGCTGGAGACATCTATCAGGTCTGAGGTGCCATTGTAATACCACCTTTATAGTGTTATAGCATATGAAGGTAGAAGATTGGAAGAAGGCCAATGTGGTGCCTATCTTCAAGAAAGGGAGGAAAGTAGATCCGGGGAACTACAGGCCTATCAGCCTGACCTCTATCCCGGGGAAGGTCTTGGAAAAAAGGATCAAAGAGACCATTCTTGACAAACTGGCTGAAGGCAACATCCTGAGGGATAGCCAGCATGGGTTTGTTGCTGGTCAGGCAAGACCTATCCATCTTGTCTCTTTTTATGGCCAGGTGATATGTCACCTGGACAAGGGAGAAGAGATTGACATCATATATTTTGATTTTAAAAAAGCCTTCCATTTGGTGTCCCATGATCATCTCATGGAAAAATAGGCCAACTGTGACCTCGGCTGTGTCACAGTCTGGTGGCTGGAGAATTGGCTCCGAGGTTGAATTCAGAGAGTGGTAATCGATGGAAGGAGAATCATTGTGGTGCACCATGACCAGTGGGGTACCCCGAGGCTCTGTCCTTGGACCTATACTCTTTAGCAGTTTTATTAATGATATGGACATTTGTTGTTGGAAGCAGACTGGCCAAGTTTGCCAATGACACCAAACTTTGGGGTAAAGTGTCCACACCTGAGGACAGGATGGTGATCCAGGCCGACCTAGGCGGATCAGAAAATGGGCAGACAAAACCTGATGGCATTCAACACTGAAAAATGCAAGGTATTCCACCTTCTGGGGAGGAAAAACATCCGCAGCATGCTTAGGCTCAACACTGCTATGCTTGCTAGCACCATGGCCGAAAGGGACTTGGGGGTCATGATTTAACCACAAGATGAATATGAGCCACCAACGTGATGTTGTAGCTGGTAAAGCGAGCAAAACTCTGGCTTGCACCCATAGATGCTTCTCAAGCAAATCCCAGGATGTCATCCTCGTGCTGTACTCGGCCTTGGTGAATTCTTCCCTTCCCCAATGCAGACCCCTTGCCTTAGCTCTATGAGTCTTAGGGATAGCCCAGGGAGCAGAGGGACATTCCTCTGCTCCCCTGAATTAGTTTTGCCTTAGACTCACTGCAGGTACAGCAAAACTGGCTGCAAAAGAGCATGAGGATTTCCCTTCACTCCATGAAGCTCCCTGAGAGTTGCCAGGGCTGAGGCAAGCAGGAGTGCAGGTTCAGGAGGGGAAGTATATAAAGGGTGTGCATCAGGATCTGGGGGAATGCCTGTTCACCAGAGCACCCCAAGGGATTACAAGGTCAAATGGTCACAAACGTCTCCATAGATTCATAGATTCATAGATGTTAGGGTCGGAAGGGACCTCAATAGATCATCGAGTCCAACCCCCTGCATAAGCAGGAAAGAGCGCTGGG